AAGATGATTATTCCTTCCACCCCCGGCATAGCTCAAATAGTCTCAAGCTCCACCCCTGGTTATAGAGCACCTACTACGCTCCAGCACCGCCCATTGTCACCTCACCCCACCCTTCTAGTTAGACCTACCCCCTAAACATTAATCCCTCCTCTGCCCACGCACCCACCACTTTGCCCAGCAACCATAGGACCAATCTTCCCCTTCTTGCTATCCGGCGTTAACTAAAAATATAGATCTGATCATCCCTCATTCAGGCACTGGTTACGAACATCCCACAAAAAAACTTACCCACTCTACTCCGGCAAGTCTTACCACAATGGAGCCATCATCTCCACTGCTGCTATGCCCTATTTCAACTCTGCAAACTAGCCCCTTCGCCGCAGAGCATGTCCCCTCCCACCGTCATATCACCACATTCTTTTGCCACCAGCACCCTGCCTTAGAAAGGTTCTGAGAACACTAGCAAGTTTCTAGAAAAAATTAGATCAAAGCTTCTGCAACAAATGGGAACTAAATAGGAATCTGGAAAGAAACGGAAGGTCAGACTACCCAGGAAATACTCAGTAGACCAGCCAAAACCTACCTCCATCGTCCCACCCTCATGCCAGGTCTTTACTAGGTCTCACGCCCCCCTGTTAGGTTACAGAGCAGCACAACCTACTCCAGCTCCGACCGTAGTCGTCCTGATGGAAGCCCACGGGAGGTCACTAGAATGCCTTCCACCCTCGACAATTCCCGAGATCTCTCTACCAGGACTCATGCCCTGTCTAACTCGTGGTACAGGGCAGCGTAACTAGAACCCCAGCACCAGCCAGCGTCGTTCTGACATCGGCCCACCATGTGCTTAAGACGTGACAGTGTTGATACGACCTCAGACGGGCAGCTGAAAATTTCCTAAATCATCCCTCCTTCAGTTCCAGACTCCTTCAGCCACTGGTCAGGCTATTCACTCAATATCACCGATCAATCCCCATTCCCCCACTCCAGCAAGACTTACTGCAGAAGAGTCACCATCTCTACTGCTGCTATACTCTGATTCCATCCTACTAGCTAGGCCCCTCATCAGCAGGACGCTTGATATCCATCCATCCAGTTCCCCCACTATACGTCTGACGTGTGTCAACCTCGAATCAAAATCCAAAACACCCATCGAACTTCTCAAAAAAAGAAATCAATTTCGAAGTTATTTAGCATATGTAGTTAGAGGATTAAGAACTTACCTTCACAGTCTATTAC